GGGGAGTCTTGGGTCACCTTTTTCCTTGCAGATAACCACAGTACCCATGTGTCCTTGGGAACCATTCACTCACCAGTGTGTTTTCCTGATGTGGCTTGCTGGTGTTTTTAACAAGATCCTCTGCAGTGGCAGACTTTCTATCCCTGGCAATAATTTAACACTTGAGCAAAATACACAAGCTTTTGCCTGTAACCAGCTCAGTGAATAGATAATGAACCTCTCCTGCTTCTTTGTCCTGCAAAATACTTGGGGTGGGAGAGGTGTGTTTGTGCTCTCCTTTGTGCTTTTCTTTGTACTTTCTCTGGCTCTGCAGTTTTTGGCTCAGCGGGTCACTTTCTGCATTTTGCTAGTGAGGCTGGAGACAATGCTCCCTGCTGGTGTTGATCCCATAGATCAGGTAGACTGGTTATCCTTCTGGAGTGAATGAGTGTGCGATGCCTTGGGGTGGGTGTTAGGGATGCTGCTATGGCCTTGACTTGTTCAGGACCTCCTTCTTTCCTGGAGCTGCCATGAGATGGGTGGGCCATTAATGATGGTTGAGTCTTGTGGGTGTCCAGGAGATGTCCCAATAGCAAAGGGAGGGGAACCAATTTCTGCAACAGACTTCTTCCTTCAAATCGTGGAATCATAGAATAGTTTGAGTTGGAAGGGACCACAGAGGTCATTTAGTCCAACCCCCCTGCAGGAAGCAGGGAATCTTCCACTAGATCGGGTAGCCCAGAGCCCCATCCAACCTGACCTTGAATGTTTCCAGGGATGGGGCATCTACCACCTCCCTGGGAAACTTGTTCCAGTGTTTCACCACCCTAAGCATAAAATATTTCTTCCTATCACTATCCCTAGTATTGTCAGATGTTCTCTGCAGTACTAGACACCCATGTTTCAGTGTTAAATCCTGTTTCCCATCTCAGAAGAGCACAGGGCACACATTTTAACAGAGGAAGACAATAGCTTGCTCTGCTCACTAGGTTTCTCCCAGTCTTTGCTGATGAGTCTGGCTGTTGTTGGTGCTGACCTGCTGTCCACCATTTCTCAAGGAGGGATAGCCGGACTCCACATCTGCAGGGAGAGGGGATGCTCTGCATTTAAATCTTAAAACTGATGCTCTCTGGTTTGAATACAACAGTGCCATCTTCAAAAGGGGTATCATTCTGATCTTGGAAGATTGGGTCTAAGAGGCTGTTTGATTGGCATAGAAGTATAATTAAGTCATCCCAGGTTCCCTTCAGCTCTCAGCCCTCTCCACCAAGTCTTTCCTTTGCCTGGTACTGCCCCAGCGTGCAGAGCCTGCCTGCACAAGGAGAAAGCTAAAAAGTTCAGTCAGGCTGGTTGGGCTGGTCAGGTTTGACAAAGTCATAGAATCATAGAATCATAGA